AAACAAATGAAATCTCAACACTGATCAGTTCTTCACAATAAATGTTAGGTGGCTGTCTTATTCTTAACCTCTATTTTAAATTACAATAAAGGAGAGGAGAGTATAGGATGCAGCCTGCACTTTGCAAAGCTGCACGTGTTCAAGAGGCAATACTGATCTCAATCTCCTGCAACATTTGAGAGGCCTCCTCATACTGAACTTCTACTTTCTTTAAAATTGGGAAAATAATACTGGAGATGCCAATGAATTGCTATACTCCTCAAATGAGTTACTGTACCCACGGGTGCAACACAATGAAAAATTAATTTAAAAACAGCAGAAAAATAAAATATCATAGTGGATATATTATCTGAAAAAAACACAACAACAACAAAAAAAAACCTCAACAGATGAGCTCAATAGCAGAATGGACAGGGCCAAGAAAAGAAACAATAATTAGAAGATAGAACAATGGAAATTAATGAATCTGGAAAATAGAAAGAAAAAACTGAAAAAAAAAAAAGGAGTTGGGGAACTATGGAACTGATACCAACAGATCCAATATATGTATCTTCAGAACTCTTGATGGTGAAGTGAAAGAGGGCAAGGCTGAAAGAGTATCTGAAAAAATAATAGCTTAAAAGTTCTCAGATTTGGAAAAAGACCTACTCCTACAGATTGAAGATTCTGAAAAACCCTTCTCAGGACAATCCCAAAGACAAAGACATCAGGAACACCAAAGGCAAAGGAAATCTTGAAAGCAATGAGAGAGAAATGACAACCTATAGAATGAAAGTGAGTCCTCTGCCGGCACCGCAGCTCACTAGGCTAATCCTCTGCCTGTGGCGCCGGCACCCGGGGTTCCAGTCCCGGTTGGGGCGCCGGATTCTGTCCCAGTTGCCCCTCTTCCAGGCCAGCTCTCTGCTGTGGCCCGGGAAGGCAGTGGAGGATGGCCCAAGTGCTTGGGCCCTGCACCCCATGGGAGACCAGGAGAAACACCTGGCTCCTGGCTTCAGCTCAGCGTGGTGCGCAGGCCGCAGCAGCCACTGGGAGGTGAACCAACAGAAAAGGAAGACCTTTCTCTCTGTCTCTCTCTCACTGTCCACTCTGCCTGTCAAAAAAAAAAAAGAAAGAAAGAAAGGAAAAAAAAAAGTGAGTCCTCATAAGAAAAAACGAGGTCAGATGAAAGGATGAAAGTGTCCCAATATTTATCTAGTGCTGAAAGAAAGAACAGTCAAGATCCAAGACCCAAGATCCAGTGACATTCTTGAGCAATAAAGGGGAAATCAATAAATTCTCAGAAGGAAAGCTAAGAAAATGTGTCGAATCATACCTACCCTCAAAATAGAGGAAATGATACAGGAAAGAAACTTGGAACATCAGGAAGAAGGGAAGGCATACAGTGATAAATACACTGATAATGTAATAGACTCTCGGGGCCAGCGCCATGGCTCACTAGTAATCCTACACTTGCGGCATTGGCTCCCATATGGGCACCAGTTCTAGCCCCGGTTGCTCCTCTTCCACTCTAGCTCTCTGCTGTGGCCTGGGATAGCAGTGGAGGATGGCCCAAGTCCCTGGGACCCTGCACCCACGTGGGAGACCAGGAAGAGACTCCTGGCTCCTGGCTTCAGATCGGTGTAGCTCCAGCCATTGTGGCCATTTGGAGAGTGAACCAATGGAAGGAAGACCTTTCTCTTTCTCTCTCTCTCACTGTAAACTCTAATGTCAAAATAAATTAAAAAAAAAAGTTTTAAAAAATGTAATAGACTCTCCTATTGAGACTTCTAAACTGCATTTGATGGTTGAAGCAAAAGTTTAACATTGTTGAACTGTGGTTTTAAATGTATGAACAGAAAATATTTAATAAAACTATATTATGAACAGAAGAGGGCATATGGACAGAAAGTAAACCCAGACTCTTTTTTTTTTTAAGATTTATTTATTTGAAAGGAAGAGTTGAGAGAGGGAGATCTTCCATCTGCTGGTTCACTCCCAAAATAGCTGCAATGACTGTGCCAGGCCAGGCCAAAGCCAGGAGCTTCTTCCAGGTCTCCCACGTAGGTACAGGGGCCCAGTACTTAGGCCATCCTCTGCTGCTTTCCCAGGCACATTACTAGGGAGCTGGATTGGAATTGGAGTAGCCTGGACTCAAGCCAGCACCTATATAGGGTGCTGGTATTGCAGGCAGCAACTTTACTCACTGCACCACAATGCCAGCCTGGAAAAGTTTTTCTTTCTACACTTAATTCAAACTTTTAAAATGATAACACCAGTAGACTGTGAGACATTCAAAAGTACCACAAAAAGTTTGGAAAAGTAAAATTTAAACTTTATTCTAGCATTAAAAAAACTTTGAAATCCATGCATATTTTTTCATAATAAGCATTTTTCCATGAATATTCTGAAGGCCCCACATATATATCAACCACTATAAAGAGCTATATAAGTAGATACACTCAAAAAAACTATAGATAATTCAAAATTGGGTTCTTAAGCCAGCGCCGCGGCTCACCAGACTAATCCTCCGCCTGCAGCGCCGGCACCCTGGGTTCTAGTCCCGGTTGGGGCGCCGGTTCTGTCCCGGTTGCTCCTCTTCCAGTCCAGCTCTCTGCTGTGGCCTGGGAGGGCAGTGGAGGATGGCCCAAGTGCTTGGCCCTGCACCCCATGGGAGACCAGGAGGAAGCACCTGCTCCTGGCTTCGGATCAGCACAGCGCCAGCCATAGCGGCCATTTGGGGGGTGAACCAACGGAAGAAAGACCTTTCTCTCTGTCTCTCTCTCTCACTGTCTAACTCTGCCTGTCAAAAAAAAAAAATGGTTCTTAAAAACTGTTCAAGTAATGTACATAAAGGCAGGAAAAAGAAAATGGGGCTGGTGTTGGTGCAGTGGCTGCTTGTGACCCTGGCATCTCATTTGAGTGCTGGCTTCTGTCCCCACTGCTCCCTGTTCCAGGAAGCTTCAGAAGATGGCCTGGGTACTTGTGTCTCTGCTACCCACATGGGAGACCAAGATGGAGTTCTGGGCTCCTGGTTTCAGACTGGTTGAGCACATGCCATTGCAGCCATTTGGGGAGTGAACTAATGGATGAAAAATCTCTTTCTCATTCTGTCTCTCCCCATCTCTCTGCTGCATTGCCTTTCTTTTTCTTTCTTTTCTTTTTCTTTTTCTTCTTCTTTCTTTTTTTTTTTTTTTTTTGGACAGGCAGAGTTAGTGAGAGAGACAGACAGAGAGAAAGGTCTCCCTTTTTCCATTGGTCCACCCCCAAATGGCCGCTATGGTCGGTGCGCTGTGCCGATCCGAAGCCAGGAGCCAGGTGCTTCCTCCTGGTCTCCCATGCAGGTGCAGGGCCCAAGGACCTGGGCCATCCTCCACTGCACTCCCGGGCCACAGCAGAGAGCTGGACTGGAAGAGGAGCAACCGGGACAGAATCCGGTGCTCCAACTGGGACTAGAACCTGGGGTGCCAGTGCCACAGGCAGAGGATTAGCCTAGTGAGCCATGGCATCGGCCTGCATTGCCTTTCAAATAAATAGAATAAATCTTTTTAAAAAATGTTATCACCAACTTGCTGGCGGGAACATAAAGTGGTATGACCATTCTGGAAAGAGTTTGGCAGTTGGTTAAAAATAAATAAATAGGTGCTGGCGCTGTGGCGTAGTTGGTAAAGCCACTACCTGCAGTGCTGGCATCCCATATGGGCACCAGTTCGAGTCATAGCTGCTCCACTTCTGATCCAGCTCTCTGCTATGGTCTGGGATAGCAGTGGAGGATGGCCCAAGTCCTTGGGCTCCTGCACCGGAGTGGGAGACTGGGAGGAAATTCCTGGCTCCTGGCTTTGGATAGGCACAGCTCTGACCATTGCAGCCATTTGAGGAGTGAACCAGCAGATGGAAGACTTCTCTCTCTCTCTCTAACTCTTCCTCTATAACTCCACCATTCAAATCAACAAATAAATCTTTAAAATAAATAAATAAATAAATAAACCTACCATATGACCCAACAATTGTATTCCTAAGCACTTATCCCAGAGAATTAAAAATTTATGTTCACACAAAACCCTACACACGAATATCTAGATAAGCTCTATTCATAATAGCCAAAAAGTGCAAGCAACTCAGAGAGCCTTCAAGAGATGAATGATTAAACAAACCATTCCATACCACAAAAGACTACTCAGTGATGCAATTACTGATACACAAAACAACCTGGGTGACTCCCCAGAAATTATGGCTAGTGGGAAAAAAAGTCAATACTAAAAAGTTTCCTAATACATGACTCTCTTTATAGAGTACTCTTGAAATGACAAAATTAAAGAAATAGAAATAGAAAACAAATTAGTAGTTGCCATGGGTTAAGGTGCAATAAAAGTTGAAGGGAAATTGATGTGATTATAAAATATAGCATGAATGATCCCTGAAGTGATAGAAATATTCTGTATCTTGGCTATGTCAATATCAATATACTGACTGTGATATTATATATAATTTTGTAAAATATCAATATTGGGGTATTATATACAAAACTATCATTATAACTTAATATGAATTAATAATAATTAATAACTTCATATGAATTTATAATTATATCAATTGTTTTTAAATGTGAAAGGGATCAAGTCAAAAAACAATTAAAAAGAGCACTGGAACTAGGAATCAGAAGTCCAAGATTCAAGTCTTCATTCACCCAACTTTGGCAAATCAAACTCCTTGTCACAAATCATTTGTATAACGCAATTGATGAGACCTGCAACTGCTACCTCCCAGTTGATAATAGGCACACATTACATTCATTTAAAAATGTTAGAATCAAGGCTAATCTAAATGTCAAGTATTTGAAAGCTTTTGTTATAGAATTGATGCCTCAAAGTCCATTTCTCCAGATAGAACATGAATCTAATCAAGTTGCTAATACTACTAATTTTATTTTCACTACCCATCATTAAATCCCCCATAAAGCAGCAAAAAACAACACTGGACAAGAGAAGAGAAGAGCCAGATCTCTTTTGCATCCTATAACATACTTACAGGTCCAGAAATATGCCAGATGTTCTCTTTCTTCCTCTCTCCTGCTGCAAAGGGTGCTGTCGAATGCTTTGTTTAGTCAGTGATGTACAGAATGGAGCATCTAAGGCTGAAATCTTGCTTTATGCGTTTTCTATTTCAGGACTGGCTTGGAGAAATTGCACAGAGTTCATCCCATGATCCTTCACGTGAGAGGGAAACCATTCGGACTTTTATAGCCTAAGGAGGAAGAGTTAGAAAGGTTAAAGCTAATTTTGGCTATGGCTGCTTTGGGGGCAGAGAGAAGGAATCATGCACCCAGTTAAAGGCATTTGAAACTGTTGACATGCCTTTTGCAATCATTAACTTTGTTGTTCTAATACACTCCACACTAGCTTTTTAAATGAGGTAATGTATAATCTCATTTAATGGGAAATTTTGTAGGAGTTGGCTGATCCAGCATCCCATTGTTATTATCTAGGGCTTAGGTAATCTACATGTCTAGTCTCTTCTACTCACAAGGTTGATTTTATTTTTAAGGCTCATTTACCCTGGGGTCAATTGTGGATTATCCATCTTCATTCAAATCTGAAGAAAGAAGAGGGGGAGAGAAATGAAGAGAGAAGGAGAGAAGGAGAGAAGGAGAGAAAGAGAGAGAGAGAGAGAGAGAGAGAGAGAGAGAGAGAGAGAGAAATAGCTTATTCTTAAGAGCAAGCCAGAATTTTGAATTCTCCAATGGAACTCTCATCACATCATTGGCCAGAGCTGGGTCACATGACTTCACAAACCAATCACAGACCTGGGGGAATGCAATAATACTTAGTCCAATCAGATTAAATCCTGAAGTTGAGAAGATTCTTCTGAGTCACATGGGTACAGGAAGAAGGGACACCCGAAAGAAACTTGGATTCTATTATAAAGAGAAGGAGTAGAAGCTGTGTAGGCAGTTGGTACTCAGTAATCACCCTATTTAACTCCACTAACAGTACTATGTGATGTTTTCTGAGCACTCTGATACTATATGGTACAAAATAGGACAGAGTTGAACTTTTCTAGTTTTGAGTCTTTCTTTAAGCTCACTGTGATACTTTGGGTAAGCTAAATTCTTGGACCCACATTTCTGAAAGGAACTGGAACTGTGTGACCCTGGCCTGGGCAAATTGCTTTTTATGCATCAGCTTCCTAATCTGTGGATCTCTCCTCTAAGACTGATAACACTTTATGTGTAAGGTTCTGAATTTCTTCACTAGGGCTCCTAACAAAGCACCACAGGCTTGCAGCTTAAACAACAAAGTTATTTTCTCAGGATTCTGGAGACGACAAGTCCAAGATGAAGGCGTTAGTGCAGAGGGTCTATTCTGAAGACATTTCTTCTTGGCTGATGGGTGGCCAAATTCTCTATCTCAATCTGATCTTTATTCTCTGTGAGGTAAACTCCTAATTTCCTCTTCTTACAAAGACACCAGTACTAATGAATTCATTTCACCTTTTTAGAGACTGTGTCTCCAAATAGGTCATATTCTGAAGTACCAGACATTAGGACTTCAACAAATGAATCTCTGGGTGGGACAATTCTAGGTGATGTGAGCAATAAATTATCCAAAAGAATGATCTCTTCAAAAGTAAAGGCGAAGACATATTTTAAAAGCAATGAGGGGCCGGCGCTGTGGTATAGCGGGTTAATGCCCTGGCCTGAAGTGCCGGCAGCCCATATGGGCACCTATTCAAGACCTGGCTGCTCCTCTTCCGATCCAGCTCTTTGCTATGGCCTGGGAAAGAAGCGGAAGTTGGCCCAAGTCCTTGGGCCCCTGCACCTGTGTGGGAGACTTGAAAGATGCTCCTAGCTCCTGGCTTTGGATTGCTGCAGCTCCAGCTGTTGCAGCCAATTGGGGAGTGAACCATCAGATGGAAGACCTTTCTCTCTCTGCCTCTCCTCTCTCTGTGTAACTCTGACTTTCAAATAAATAAATAAACTTTTTTTTTTTTTACAAAAAGTACTTCTAAAAAAAAGCAAGTGATATACAATGGAATAGTTTTTGTATTGTATTACTCCAATTTTTATGGCTATGTAATATAGAATGTCAAATGTAATGGTTTATGGGATAAGCATTTGGTGTGACAATTAAGATGCCACTTGGGATATTTGTATCTCATTTCAATGTGTTGGTTCAAGTCCTGGCTCTGCTTCCCATGCCAGCTTCCTGCTAATGTGTACTCTGGGAGGCAGCAGGTGATAGTTCAATTACTTGGGTTCTTGTCACCCATGTGGGAGATTTGGATTGAATTACTAACTAACTCCTGGCTTTGGCTTGGCCCAGGGCAAGATGTTGTAGACATTTGGGGAGATCTCTCTCTCTCTCTCTCTCCTTCACTTTGTCTGCCTTTCAAGTAAATAGGTTTTAAATGCAGTGGTTTAAATCAACAGCATTTCTCTTCTTCATAAATCTTCAGTTTTTATAGGGCTCAATGAGGATAGATTACTCAGACTACCCAGGTCATTAGCTGGGACAGTTGAAAGTCTCACTCACAGGCAGATGCCAGCTGTCAGCTGAGACCTCAGCTAAACTCATGCATGGAACCACTCCAGATGGTCTGGGCTTCCACACAACATGATGGCTGGGCTCCAGGGGAGAATACCATGAAAGAGAAAAGTAGAAACCATGGTGTTTTTTTAACCACCTAACCTCAAAAGTCACCCAAAATTGCTACTGTTGCATTTGTTCACATAGGCATTTATAAAGACTGTCAAGGTTCAGAAAAGTGGAAACAGACTCTCCTTTTGGTGAGGAGCACCAAGATCTGGATGAGCATGTAGAAAGAGATTATACTGATCATTTTTGAAAAATATAATCTTCATACATTCCTACTTCCCCACATGAAGATCCTTCTTAGGGAGTTTTCTCTCCAGCACTTTGGGGTTTGTGATTTTGTTTTAACCAGAATTGGATCCTTATAATATTCTAGTATATTCCCAAGGAGTTGAGAATAAAATGGCACATTTGGTAGAAAACTTCTGCGAAGAACTACATCAAAGAGAACTCCATAAACCAAGGTTTGATGCACATCACAGTTCTCTTCCAATCAGGAACACATAGAAAACAAGTTGACTCTGATTTCCAGATGATCTTCCTTTTTATAACTCTGACACAATCATGTTTCAGTCCTGAATGGGGAACTCAGATTTGTGTCTGTGAAATGAGAGCTAAGAGATTAAGTAGGACTGAAACACTTTCATCAGCATTAATGTTCTACAAAAACAAGAGGAAAAAAAAGAGTGAATCAAGAAAATGTAAAAGCATTAGGCTGGGTCCATCAAAGAAGCTGAGCTGTTGCTTGCTGAGTATTTGAATGCAGGGCATCATTTTCATGATGGCAATAATAATTTATTGTCAAAATGCTTTCATTGAGTTGCCTTTACTGAAGAGGCCCTGCATGCTTTTTCGCCAGCTTGCTACAATTAAAAGCAGCAGTAAACAGAGACTTTCCATTTAGACTGAAAAGCGACAATTAAGCTTGCCCAGCTATAAATAGGGAGCAGCTTCACATCTAGGGCCTCAACTGTGCACATTAAAGACTCCAGCTACAAATGCCCCCAGTTCATTTCTACAGGACAAACCAATAAACTGTCAAACTCTGACCTTGAAACTGACAATTTCTTCGTGAATCAAAGTAGGTAAATTATGCATAATTCTAGATAATTACTGAGATGTCTACGAGGCCAGGAAACCAGCACACATGCTGGAAATCTGAATGTACAGGCTTCTGGCTTTTTCATGTTACCATTATCAAGCCATGTTTTGCCTTGGGCAGTTGTCAGGGTTAGCTCTCTTTTGCTTAGGATGCAGGGAAGAAAATAATGGTTTTAAGAATTAGGGTAGGGAGGATGTAAAATATTTTTTTTAAATCAAGATTTCCATTAGTTCTAGAGATTCACCAAAAATGCCAGTATACAGACAATCAGTGTTAAATATTTTTGAATAAAAAAAGTTAATGAGGGGCCGGTGCTGTGGCGCAGCAGGTTAATGTCCTGGCCTGAAGCATGGGCATCCCATATGGGCGCCGGTTCTAGTCCCAGCTGCTCCTCTTCCAATCCAGCTCTCTGCTATGGCCTGGGAAAGAAGTGGAAGATGGCCAAAGTCCTTGGGCCCCTGTACACACATGGGAGACCTGGAGGAGGCTCATGGCTCCTGGCTTCGGATTGGCTCAGCTTCGGCCAGAGCAGCCATCTGGGAGTGAACCATCAGATGGAAGACCTTTCTTTCTCTCTGCCTCTCCTCTCTCTGTGTAACTCTGACTTTCAAGTAAATAATAAATAAATCTTAAAAAAAGTTAATGAAAATAATTGGTATCACTTGTAGATAGATATCTGCATTTTCAGTGTTGATCAATCCCTTCATTTTCTGCAGAAGAACAACTGGAGGATAAGGAAGCCATGTGAATTGTCCAACATCACAGAACTTGACGTGGTAGACCTAGAACTCGATGGGTTTCCTGACTGCCACTCTAGTGTCCATTGAATGAGAAAATTCATCCTCTCCTCATTTTTTTAGCCCAAAAGTAATAAAAAGTCTAAAGGGTATTATATTTCTTTGAGGGTAAAAAAATGCTTTGAAAAGTAAAAGGATTTTCCTAAATAGAGATGCTTTGTTCCTTCTGCCTATGTATCCCTCATCTGAGCCAACAGCCCAAATAGAATGAGTTTCTAAAATATGTCTTGAATGATCACATCATCTTAAAGTTTTGAATTCTCTTGGTTTTTGATTGCATGTGTCCTGTGCCTCCCAGTGATTTTCCACCTGCTTGTGTGCACCCTGGAGTGATCTGCTCAGTATTTTCTGCTACCTCTTCTCACCTTCTCCACTCAGTTCTGAACCCAGGAGACTAGCATTTATGTACTCATCAATGTTACCCTTATTCTTTGACTACTGTGAGTTTGGCTACTGGGGAGACCAATTGAAGACTGGATGGAAGGATAAAGAAGCCAACATCTTTATTTCCCTTTCCATTGCCTGCAACATGAGCAGTGCTTCCAGCTAACTCCAGTCTAGAGTAGTCCAACCCCAGAAACATAAGTGACAGTGAATGACTGTTATATTAAACCATTCAGTTTTCAGGAGTGTTTCTTTTTTTTAATGTGGCAATTGCTGTCTGGCACAAAATAAAGTATGTAAAAGGAAGAATTTAAGACAATGTAAGCATCCTAAAATGAATGTAAACATCTCTGAAGACAAGAAATAGACATAAACTTGGAAAAATAAATGGGACTGAGTTTACAGGCTGCCTTAACTCCAGACCTAGAAGGAAACAGACAGCTGGGCTCCTGTAGAATAGCAAAGCTAAAAGTACCTAATGAGAAATAGGAGACACTTTCTTCAAACTCATTGTTTGAAATCCAAAACAAGTTTGAGATTCTCTCACCCATGAAAAGAACTGAAATAAGCTCTTAAAACCACAGTCTGGATGGCTATTTTGTACAGCTGGATAGCAGGGAAACTGTAAGAAATACCGAATTTCATCCTGGAAGTCTGCTTAACTATTGACTTGGTAGCTCAGTTAGTGATAGTCACAGTGTCAGTGAGTTTTGGGAGCCTTGCACTACCAATGTAAGATCCTTTTTTTGATTAAATGTTCTCGGGGGGTAACAAGAGATTAGATATAAACCTATAAGACTATGAGACATAAGCATGGAGGTGGGAGAAGGAGAGAGAGAAAGAGAGAGGAGAAGGGAGGAATAGTAAACTTCCAAAACACAAAAGAAATAATGGTGAGAAAGACAGCCACAAAACGGACAACTGGAAATGAGTTCACTCCAGAAGAAATGGAAAAAATAAGATTATTACCCATAGATTTTCATTAAAATAATTGCTAAAAAATGTAATTTGACAAAAAAAAACATCCTGGGAGATATAGAAGAATATAGTGGAGTAAAAAAAAAAACCAAAACCCAATATTATCAAATTTGGTAGTATGCTAATGAGTTTTATTTACGAGTCACCCATTAAAAACAATGATAGGGACATATGTTTGGCACCACTTGGGATGCCTGCATCCCATATCTAAGAGCTGATTTGAGTCCTGGTTGCTCTGCTTTAGACACATATTCCTGCTAATGCACACACTGGGAGGCAGCACATGGTGACTCAAATACTTGGGTCACTGCCACCCTTGTGGGAGATGTGGATTGAGTTCCAGGCTCCTGGCTTCTGCCTGGCTTTTCCCTGGCTGTTGTGGGCATTTTGGTGACTGAACCAGTAGATTGGAAATTTTTTTTTTTTTTTTTTTTTTTTTTTTGACAGGCAGAGTGGACAGTGAGAGAGAGAGACAGAGAGAGAAAGGTCTTCCTTTGCCGTTGGATCACCCTCCAATGGCCGCCGCTGCAGCCGGCGCACCGTGCTGATCCGATGGCAGGAGCCAGGATCCAGGTGCTTTTCCTGGTCTCCCATGGGGTGCAGGGCCCAAGCACCTGGGCCATCCTCCACTGCACTCCCTGGCCATAGCAGAGAGCTGGCCTGGAAGAGGGGCAACCAGGACAGAATCCGGCGCCCCGACCGGGACTAGAACCCGGTGTGCCGGCGCCGCAAGGTGGAGGATTAGCCTATTGAGCCACGGCGCCGGCTCAGATTGGAAATTTTATGTCTCTTTCACATTTTATGTCTCTTTGCCCTCCAAAGAGAATGAAAATAAATAAAAACAGCATTTTTCACATATCTAGACAGAATTCAAATAACACCAAGAAAGATATAGTTTAGAAAGGTGTCCAGTGAATAGCTAAAACATATTGTTGTTGCATTATTTAGA